TCTTGATTTACTTTCTCTGCCCACATTTTTAATCTGGATTGAATTCAGCCCTATCCTCTCATTTTAGTGCTTAATTCAGCCAAGCATTAAACTGAGAAGGGGAAGAATGAGGTGGAAACCTGGATTTCACAGCTGTAATTCCAGACACTTCAGATCTCCTTTCAACCATATGCCTATGCTGAGAGTAGGGTATTAGAAGGGAACAGTTAAGGGCTGGCACGGTGGCTCACGCCTGTAATCCCAGCACTTTGGGAGGCCGAGGTGGGCGGATCACGAGGTCAGGAGATCTAGACCATCCTGGCTAACATGGTGAAACCCGTCTTTACTGAAAATACGAAAAAAATTAGCTGGGCGTGGTGGCGGGTGCCTGTAGTCCCAGCTACTTGGAAGGCTGAGGCAGGAGAATGGCGTGAACCCAGGAGGCAGAGCTTGCAGTGAGCCGAGATCGCGCCACTGCCCTCCAGCCTGGGCAATAGAGCAAGACTCCGTCTCAAAAAAATAAATAAATAAACAAACAAATAAAATAAAGGAACAGTTATAGTTCCTGAAAAGGTCAGATCTATGAATTTAGTATGGACTACAGGTCCAACAATAGTCTCTAGAGCCAAATCTTCTCTTGTAAATTGTTTGAAAACAGAAGAAAACTATGGAGAAAGTCTTTTCAGTAGACAGATAATTACTGCCCAACCTTACCGGCATCTGTTAATAAGGTTTGGACAATTCTCTCTCAGGACAATCTTATTCTTAATTCGGAGTTAGTTCTGAGGTTCCTGTATCTTCTGTTCCCACTCAGAATTAAAGAATCTTAGATTCTTTTGAAAATACCTAACCCAACTGCCACAATTTCTAAATTAAAATATTGATGATATGACAGACTCATTCAAAGTTAGGAAACCAGTTAGTGACAGAGCCTGAAAGAGAATCTTACTTACTCTTATCCTAGGTGCTATTTCACATTTCATGATGCCTTGCAAAGATTAGATATACAAGAATACATAAGAATTTCCACTAAAGGTCACACTGGAAAAAGCAACATAAATCTTTGGGGAAACATAGTCTGAAATGACTGCACTCCACCAATTAGTCAGTATGTTAGCTAGCTACCTGGTAACCAGAGTCAGATTAAAGGGTGGATTATCCAGGCAGCACTCAAAGCATCCATCTCTAAGGGGTGCTAACAAGACGACACCCTTGTGTGAATTAGAAAAATATCCTTTACCCGGGAAGATGCAGCCCCTTGAGACTAAGACACTCCTTCCTCCAGGTGAATGTGCCAGCACCTGTTTGCAGTGTGGCAAGTGGAGAGTGAGATGTATTTCAGTCCTCACTTTGCCCCTTGGGTGGGCATCCTCGTGCATTTACCAGAAATCCTCTCTTGGAGACCACATGTGGATGGGGGTTGCTTTCATAAGCAACTCAAGGTGGGTAGAGACAGCCAAGCAGCAGTAAATGATCACTAGCCTGCCTTCTTCGGAGGGTGAGTCTGCTTAACTGAGTGGGGCACAAAGTTTGAGGTCAGAAGAGAGGCTGAGAGCTGCCCTGGAAGTCCTTCTACGTCTCTGCTCACCCTCATTCCCCCAAGAGCCTAGGGTTCTGAGTTAGAGCATGAGTTACCATGGTGTAAATTCTACAATTCCCCTGAAAACAGTCTATGTGTCAGAGGTCACAGAGTGCTCTGGTTTTTATTCTGGAGGTAGTACTTCCATTCTGATATAGTTCAAATACTTCCTTTCTCTTCACTGCCTATGGACAAAGTTGACTTTGCAGTCAACTGATGAATATGAATTTTGTATTGTCTTAGCTGTGTGATGACTTTGAACTAATTCCCTTAAAGCTGCTGAGATTCCTTTTCCTCATCTGTAAAATGGTCTTTGCTATAAGGATTAAAGGAGACAACACATTGGCAAACGGAAGTGCAACTGATGTGGCCGATGGGAGGGGAAAGGGTGCTCTCCCATCTTCCCTCCCACTCCATCTCGCTCCTGGTGCAGACAACCTACTGCTGGGAGCCTACTGCACTGTCTGTGCCACTACAAACCTTTAGCTCTCAGGGCCCAGAGGAACTGGGCACCAGAACGGTTGACTGAAAGGGAAGAGAGGATGATATCTGAGGTTTGATTTGTCTTTTGGGTACCACAATTTCCACATTTTCTTTAGGTCCTGCTAAATTGAAGTTTTCCCTGCTAACAGGTGCCCCCTAGACTCGAGAGTATCTCTACTTATTTATGGGTAGGAGGGCCGTCAGAGTGGTTAAGAATGAGCATTGCTATTGGAGAGACCTAGGTTTGAATCCTGGCTCTCCTTTTTCACTTTTTGTGAAGTCCTGGGCAAAAGTCATCCCAGTTTTCCTTAACTATAAAATCGGGACGTTAGTTCTAGATACTTTCCTGATACATTGAAAAAAACAAAAAGCATAGTTTGCTGATACATTGAAAAAAACACTCAATAAGCATTAACATTATCATTAGGGGGTCTGCTGGGTCAAGTGCTCCTGGGTTGCTCTTTAAAAAATCCATCACAGTGGCAGAAGGAGACAATGCCTGCCAGTCCCTGCGTCAGGTGACAGTTAGGGAAGGCAGGAGGTGGGGACTGGAATTGGGACTTCTGGGCTGTAGCGGGCTATGCCCCTGTGTTTGCACGAAATTTGTTATCAATAGCGTGAGTTCTCCCAGAATTGAGAATTCTCAGATTGCCCAAGGAGGGGGTATCTGGGATCAGGCGCAGAAATGATGACACATCACTATGAACGGAAATGGTGAACTAAGGGTGAGGCGTGGAATTGGGACCATATCACAAAAGAGATGGAGGACACAAGTTTACAATAGTTACCATATCCACTTAGATTCAGGACGTGAAGGACTTTCTGGTTACACCTATTCTTTCTTCCAGGACTTTTTGGAAGCCAGGGATAGAAAACATACTGGGCACACACTATATCCCTGATGGTGGTCCAGGAAGTAAGACCAGAACACATACCGCTGCTAGCCCGAGGATGACGACATGTAACTATTAAATTTTCATGGGTTTGAGGTCAAGCATCTTGTCTAATATCTTTTTTCCCCCATAAACAGTAGGTGTTCAATACACAAGCATGACAGCACGAGGCGGAAATGAGGAACAGGCAGGATAAATAAAATACCCCCGATGATTTCCAGGCCTCTTAATCTTGGTCCTTTCTCAATTGGTAAATCTCAAATAAGGGCTCAGCCGTAGTCCTGCCAACACCTCCAAAGCATCTCCATAGTCCGGATGCTAAACCACCCAGTGTCCACCAGGGGTCCTGGGATGAAGGGAGACGTGTTTCTTTCACGGTCATCATGATCGATTACTTCTTCCCTGCAAGTCCAGAGTCGCAGGCAGTGGACATAAGGTCACTTCCAGCCCTCTGCTTCCAAGGCTGGGGAGAGGCAAGGTCTCCCTTCGCCGCCGTACCCAGCCCGGGAACAGGAAGGCTGGGGATAGTGGCGGGCTCCATCAGCAAGGAAACCCAGGGGCTTCACTCTCCTACAGGCAGTCCTGCGAGCGCGGCCAAAGCGAGGCAGGGCACTGGGGCAGGCGCGGGGACCCAGCCTCGGTGAAG